TAGAATGGCAATCATTAAAAAGTCAGGAAACAACAGGTGCTGGAGAGGATGTGGAGAAATAGGAACACTTTTACACTGTTGGTGGGACTGTGAACTAGTCCAACCATTGTGGAAGACAGTGTGGAGATTCCTCAAGGATCTAGAACTAGAAATACCATTTGACCCAGCCATCCCATTACTGGGTACATACCCAAAGGATTTAAATCATGCTGCTATAAAGACACATGCACATGTATGTTTATCGCGGCACTATTCACAATAGCAAAGACTTGGAATCAACCCAAATGTCCATCAATGATAGACTGGATTAAGAAAATGTGGCACATAACACCATGGAATATTATGCAGCCATAAAAAAGGATGAGTTTATGTCTTTTGTAGGGACATGGATGCAGCTGGAAACCATCGTTCTCAGCAAACTATCGCATGAACAGAAAACCAAACACCACATGTTCTCATTCATAGATGGGAACTGAACAATGAGAACACTTGGACACAGGAAGGGGAACATCACACAACAGGGCCTGTTGTGGGGTGGGAGGGGGGAGCGATAGCATTAGGAGATATACCTAATGTAAATGACGAATTAATGGGTGCAGCACACCAACATGACACATGTATACATATGTAACAAATCTGCACGCTGCGCACATGTACCCTAGAACATAAAGTATAATGTAAAAAAAAAGAAAAAAATAAAGATGAAGGAGGAAATATTGAAAGATTTATATATACATATATATATATGCTATAGAAAAAATGTGACAATCTATTTCAGACTGAAGAAGAATTTTTTATGGTTTTGGTAATTAAGGGTAGAAAATGAATTTTAAAAATTAACAAAGAATTATGCAATTTCATAATTATAGAAAATTGTTCAAGAAAGCCAGCTCCTTAACCAGAGAATTAGAATGTTTAACAAACAACTGTCAAAATCTTCCGTGAGAGAAATATTAAAGGTCATCCTCTCAGTGAAGACTCAGTAGTACAATAAATGTACAAATATAGATATTATTTCCCAGATTAATAAAAGGAAATAAAATAATTGTTTTTTAAATTTCCAAATTGCTAAATCCGGACTATGTACCAGCACTCTTGGAACTGACACTTACTTCAAATTAAAAGCAATCCCTAAATGTATAACAGTCATATCAACAAATATTAATCTACCAAATTGTGTGGCTTTCCTATTTCTACGCTGTTCTTCATATTAGACAGTCCTGAAAGGAAAGAGCTCTTGCCAATACGAACCCCACTCCTGAAACATCAAAAGTGCTCAGAAACTAAGTCAGCTCCATTGTTCCACTTTGGTTTAAGTCCCAAATATATTACCTTAAAAACACAAAACTTCCACATACCCATTCTTTATTGAACAAATCTTGAAAAGCACATGTAAGTAGTGTTTTCTGCGATAGATGATAGAGGTAAAAATGACCTAAGACAATCTCTTATCCAACCACCTGGCTCCACATAGGTAAGTTCTGATTTACTGCTTCCATGAAGAGTAGACTAGTTTTTAATAGTTCTAATATCTTATAATACATTGTAAATGTAACATCCCAAATTAAAACCCTAATTTATTCCTAATTGCTGGACATTGTCTTTGACTTATACAACTTTGAATCTTTTATAACCTGAACCTTTCAAAGTATGAACCTTATAAAGTGAAGAAAAGCCTCAAGTCTGAAGAAAAACTAGGAAAGAAAGGGGAAAAAAAATCCAAGCCATTTGTGTACTAGCAATTACTGAATAAAAAGCAGCTCATCGTAATAAAATCAAGGAAATTTCATGTTTCAATTGTATTACTAATAAAAGCTGGAAAAACAAAAACAAAACTTTCTTTTTTTCTGAACGACTAGCATATAATCTAAGAACTTTATTTACTGTTGGAAATGTTAACGCACCAAAAATTCTTTTAAAACAAACAGACAAAAAAGTATATAAGCAACTACCTTAGGAATAGGATTCAGCAGAACTACACCCGATTTCTTAGTGATGACCTGTTTCGTTGTATAGTGATGATCTATAAGTTGAGGAATGTTTGAAAATCCAGTGCCCTCGAATCGATACATGTTCTGGAGAGAGAACAATAAGGTAGAATAAATGTGAAGACATTGCTTTAGAAAATCTACATTCATTGACAAATTAGATTCCATTCTTAAAAAAACTATAATTGCACAACCATGTGAATATACTTAACACTACTAAACTATACCCTTAAAAGTTATTAAGATGATAAAAATATAAATAAATAAATAAAGCTCTGACATGTTTTAAAATTCTACCTTGTGAGAGATAAATTAATCTTCACAATGTTTAAATCTAATTCAAATTGTTGAAAAATAAAAAATCTAACAAACAGACCTGAAATGCATTTTGCTAAAATGCTAACCAAAGGAAATAAAGCATGGGATACACCCGAGTTAACGGACAAGATACACGTTTACATATGTCTACATATGTGTCCCATTTGATAAAACTTTCAATATCAAAAATAATGTCAAAAATATAAGGAAGGATATCCAGTCTGATGGTAAATATTTTAATACATCTGACCATTTATTTTCTATCTGTTGATACAGTATTAGTTTGCTTTTTATAGTGGAGTATTCATTTATTATTCATTACCAAAAACACTCATTCATGCATCTTTGATAAAGAAATAAAATGCACCAGTGACAAAACTGCAGATATCAACATGCCCAAATCTTAGCATTTTAAAATTGCATATCACTAGGTAAGGTGCAATTTTCCCCAAACTCCTCCAAGACCCTTTTCCTCTTGTTTTCATATTTCAAATTGGCCTATGAGTGGGTTGTCATATGGATAAATTGATAGCAATAAACCTGGCAAATCAAAAATACCCTATTGGCCATATTTTTCAATGCGAGAAGCATTGCAATGCAATGTAACAAACGCTTCCAACTGATAGTTCTCACATCCAGGAGATATATACCAATACAGATTTTGGAGTACCCCCATTTTAAGAAAATCCTGTGAAGAAATAAGAACTTTCAAAACCGACTAAATTCTATATTACTCGCATTACTGGAAGATTACTTTCCCAGTTGAAAGTTTAAAAACTCAAAGCTCTTTTTCCATACTAGAAAATAAAAAAGATTTAATGTATCAAAATTTAATTTATATAAAACTTCTTAAATGAATATTTCTGTTTCATCGAGTAATGAACAAACTTGCATTAGTTTACTTTAGCACTTAACTACGGAGTATAAATCAACTCAAGGCAGTTAGTGTTTGAGTCAGTTCAAAGCAGTTGTTAATTCATTGCCTAAAGAACTTTTGTACATAGTAGGCATACCTTCTATGATACATTAGCACTCATGCTTGAGAATATTTCACACTGAAGGTACTAATCTATTTATAATAATGTATGTTCTAGGTGTGCAAAACACCAAGCAAGATCTCTCAGTGTCTCAGCTTATTCCTTAGTGAAACAGAGATAATATTTGTACCTCCTCACCGAGTAAAAGAGTTGAATAACTATTAACATGCAAACCACTTTACCAGTATATGGTACATGTACTGGCACACATTCAATTATCAAATCACCAGACAAATAATAAATATTAATGGACACTTAGATTGATTCCTTATTTTTGTTACTGTGAATAGTACTGCAATAAGCATGGGAGTACAGGTATCCCTTTGGTATACTGATTTATTTTCCTTTGAATAAATACCCAGTAGTGGGATCACTGGATCATATGGCAGTTCTATTATACTTTTTTGAGAAATCTCCATATTGATTTCCATAATGAATTTACTAATTTACATTCCCATCAACAGTGTATGAGAGTTCCCTTTTCTCCACATCCTTGCCTGCATTTATTATTTTTTGTGTTTTTAATAATAGCCATTCTACTGGGATAAAATGATGTTTTATTGTGGTTTTGATTTGTACTTCTCTGATGATCAGTGATACTAAGCATTTTTTCATAATACCTATTGGCCATTTACACAACTTTTTGGAGAAATGTCTATTCTTTGTATTAAATGTTGTATTCAATGTCTTGAATGCAAAATGCATGAGTGCATAAGCTTTCCAGAATTCATTTCTATGCTGCCTTATTGGTTTATTTAATTTCACATCCTGCAAAGTATGTATTCACTTACTTGATTCTCGCAAAAACTCTTTAAGGTATTAACCCCCTTTATTTCCTAAACCACAGAACAAGTAAAGACAGAGCTAGGACTGAAAGCCAAGTGTTCTAACTCCAAATATAGTGCTCTTTTTATTGATCTACTATTTAATATTTTTAACTCCTCTAAAATCTTGTATTACTTCATAACCTCCTCCTCTTGGAACACTTGTTGACTCATTTATTTACAGCTTCTATAATATAAACTCCTTCATTAGAATACAGTAGGCACTCATTAAATATCTGTTAATGAATTTCCCCATTTATTGACCCCTTCTAGTTAACAGGTATAGGAGGAAATGAACAGGATAATTTTAGCTCATGGAAGAATCACCTGCACAAAATGAAAAAGAATTAAAACTCTATATCATCTTATACTGTTTGCAATTGCTTGAGGAGCTCAACATTATACAGCAAAAACTCACTAGAATAAAATTAGGCAGCAGAAAATCTGAGGCGTTTAGTGAAAAATAAATGTTCTCATTTTTAACAGAAATATTTGAAAAATCTCAGTGACAGAAGGAAACTGGATAAAACTATGAAATGTGAACTTGTAACCTCTTATTTTTAGCATATATTATATTGTTCATTTTAGCCACTTAAAACAAAATGGCAATATTAAAAACAAGCAATAATTTGCACACTGACCCTTTCCTTTTTGTTTCTAAGAATGCTAATTTAAATACTTATAGTTACAATTTAAACTAGAAGTGATAAGATAAATATTTCAGTATTACATAATACATATTTCAAAAATAGTTACTTTCAGAGTTTAGAAAATAAAATGAAACATTCATATAAGTTGTGGTTAACGAGTTTATACTTTACCTACAATCTTTCCTTCTACAATTCTCACACCATGTAATAAATATTGCCAACATGGTCACAAATTGTAATAGGGTAGGTTATCTACATTCATAACTTAAAGGCATATATAAATTACAAAAGTTTGCCAAGGAAATAAAAAATTACACATCATTAGAAACAACAGAGTTTCCAAAACAGTAAGTTAGATGTATGAATGTGGGAAAATATGATTATCAAATTGAGGTCTGAATACTATGAAAAATTAACAAATAGTGTGAACATTATGATAGTGGAAATACTTTAATGGATATATTCCTTTTAACCTACTAGAATGGTATCTACTTCATTTAGCTATAACTACTAGATGTAAATGTACTAAATGCTACTGAATCCTACACTTTAAAATGATTAATTGTATTGTATGTGAATGTCAGCTCAAAAAGGTATGTTTCATATATATATAAACTTATTAAGAGGTATATGTGTGTACGTGTGTGTACATACACCTGTTACTAAGCTATCCAAGCCCTCAGGTTCATCTAATGATCATGGTTCAATTTTTGCAAGGCAATTAGTATCACCCTAGTCTCTAGACATAAACTGAAATCCTGTGGATAGCAATCTTGAAAATGCAGGCCATCTGAAATGATGGGAATGGAAAACAAATAGAGGCATCAATTCCTTCATATGCCAAAAACATTAAAATTCCTTTTGAAATTACTCTTCATCTGTTTAAGGCTCAATAAAGAAATGTAACAAACATAGAAAGTAGTCTAGCAATGCTTAAATAAATTTCAAAAAATAAATTAGCATTAGAATAATCAATGTAAATAAATTATTTTTAATTCTTCATTAATTTCTATTCATTATTAATGCCAATAAACAACGGCTTATCTATAAAAAGAAAAAGCTTAATCTTTAATGTATCAAAAAACCAATTCAACCATCATCCCATTCATTAAGAAATTTCACTATCACTATTCAATAAAGTATTTCTTAAAAATCTTTCACGGCACCATTCTGAAAACAATTCCAAGCTCCAATTTCAAAAGTATAAGTTTCATAAACTTAAGTTTCTCTAGAAAAAAAAACTTATAATAATCACATTGTTTTTAGTTTGAATTCGAAGTATCTTTAATGTTCAAATTTAACAACATATTTTAAATAGCTATAGACTTTGATTTTGTAAACACTATTTTTAATTTAAAATATTACTAAATACATCTTTCCTTAAACATACTTAAATGTTAGCAAATTTTGAAGCACTGTATTTAAGAAATTCAGAAAAAAATTAAGTGCTAAATTTCAAGTGTTGCAGGCATTTGTCACAAACCATTCATTATTTTAATACAATTGTACCACAATGAACTACATCAAAATATACATATGAACTAAACTGGGAACGTACATCAACATATTGTATGATAAAATGTCTCCTCTGTCCATCAGAATATACAGAAAGGACATATTCACCAGGTTTCCCATGACTCTCTCGCACCAAAAAGTCTCCTTGTTTTTTTAACAGTTCTTGAGCTTCTATTCTGGGAATTGCACCATGGTACCAGTCCTGTTCTGCCAAAGGCTTCTCACTGATGGAGATCATATCAGAAAGCTTAAACAAATATTAAAAAAAAAAAAAAAAAAAACTAAATTAGAGAAAATACTGATTATTTTCTAATAAAATTCATAGCAACTATAAAGGCTTCTTACAAATGTTCCTCCCTTTAATTGACCAATTAAAAGTTATATGATGAACCTAAAATATCTTTTGAAGTACTGGTGCTGAAGTTTACCAGAAATGCATACACTTCAACACTTTGTTTTATCTGTCATACAAAGGTAGACACAATATTAGCATTTAGAGTTAGCATTGATAATCTTATTCACCATGTCCTAAAATAAATCTATATACTAAAATTATCAACCAGAGAAATTATGAAGAAAAAGAGGGAATTAACAGAAATGTATCACAAAACAACTTAATTTTTATGTAAATGAAAAGCTAAGGTATTTCTTTTTTATGTAATTAACTCTTGATCACAGAGGTTCTGAGCAGTCTCGTATGTTCCAGGAGCACTATCTCAGGTTTTATTTGATGCTGCCTTGCTGCTGTGCCTTCCTGTCCTTATCTTCACTCACCTGACTTAACCATTACCTCTGCCACATGGCTGGTCCTGCTTCTACAAAGCAATGGTAGATAAAGCCCTAGGAGAAATAGCATCACTGAAAACCACCAATATGCAATTACAAACACACGGCAAAGATAAGGAATGTTTATAAACCATGAGCATGGTAGAGAAAGCAAATTCTCTGTTATTTTAAGAGGCCAAATGCTAACACCAAGTCAGAAATAATTTAAGAGATGACTGTTATTTCCTTGAAATGTGCTAACTGATAGTAGATTAAATCACACATTTTCTGATTACAAGTACAAATGTTGCTGATGTTATTGTTGTTTTCATGGCACACAGGAACTAAACTCCTCCAGATAGAAAGAGTACTTTGTGGATAAGGTGTAGTAATTTGAACTAACTTTTAAGGTTCTCAAAATACAGTATGCACAATGCCTCATGAGAAGGTAATTTATAAATTGGAAACATCAGAATTAATAATAAATGAAAGGCAAATATTCATATTCATATATGAAGTTTTACAGGCTGATATAAATTCTAGGTAGGACCAAAGTATGGTAATTCTGTAGTAAGTAAAAACTGGTTTTTAACAAAGACTTCATTGTTTTGTACCACTGAAGAGACCCAAAACTTACTGCTCAAAGTTCTATTTCATATTATCCAAAACCCATTCTGTTGGTTAAAAGAACAAAACAAAACAACAATAAAAAACTTGAAAAGTCCAAAATAGATCTCAAAGAAGAGTCTACATTCTGATTCTTACTTCTTCCACTCATATTAAATAACATTTTAAACTTTTAAAATATATTCAGGTTGTGACTATACATGGAAGTTTTGGTAAACTAAGTCTTTTTAATTTTCACACAAACTATGATAAACAATATTATATCATATTTAACATATAAGAAAAATATTTTATTTCAAAAAACGTTTTAACATATTCCCAAAAATTGTTTTAAAGAACAATTTTATCTAAAGAACCACCCATGACTATATGAGGTAAAAGAATATTACTTTTAAAAACAAACATAATCTACACAAAATTAACTTTTTGTATATACCGATACTAATAATTTGTAATTATTAAAGAAGTAAAAAATAATCAAACGTTTTCTATTTGTATAATCAAAAATTTTATTTTAAAATTTTATCATAGTGCATCTAATTAGAGTAAATACTAAAATTTTTACTATAATGGACATATTTCTGTCTCACTAATAGCAAAAGTGCTTATTTATTCAAAAGTTATTACTGAATACAAGAAATTCAATGTAACATCTTTGCAAAGGACTTATTTTTATCATTGTCTCTCTAAAAGGTCTACATAACAGGAAAGCATCCCAAACGAGGATGCTACATGTTGATTTCTTGTCCTAGCCAACCTATCCTTCCAAATTTGCATTTATTTCCAACTGAGAGAACACAGTTTGATGAACTAAGGTGGAAAGGTATATGAAGTACAAAAGCTCAGCCAGCATTCCCAGAAATTCATTTAAGTATATGATGAAGAACATGTATGGGGGAAAAAGTCATCTGGGGAAAGTATCTGAGTTTTGTTTCGTTTTTAAAAAACTAAATAGTAAGGAACTTATATTGCTATCTCATAAAGATCAAACTTCAATTCTATAGGTTTCTTAGTTTCTTTGGGGGTAGGGAGGGAAGCTCAAAGATCTGTTATTCCCCATCCCCTATACAACACTGTTATGAAATATAAGCTGAACTTACTGTGAGTGTATGTGTGTATATACACATGTGTACACACATACACAGGGAAAAGTCACACATATCCCCTGCCTGGGTATATCAGGTCTTTCAAAGACTTCTCTGGAAGCACTGGAAGGAATATTCTTATCAATATGATTTGAATGAAATCCCAACACAATTTTACAAACTTGAGAGTAATATATGTAGGATGCACCAGCAAAAAAAAAAAAAAAAAAAGCAACATACCAAGAGCCCAGCATAATGACATCACAAATGAAACCAAGCTTTTTACCTCAAATATCCCATCTTTCTCAGCCTCAACAGACAGGGTTTTTCTTCATTAGTAAATTATCTGAGATTTTTGCCAAAGATATGGGGGTAGGAGCAAAGCCTCCTTTTTAAGTTACAGTTAATACAGTACAGTTAATAAGTTATATTTAATAAGTTTTCCTGATTGATTGGGCTAGCTGTTTAATTAGTTATTTTCCCTAGATCTTGTTCCTAAAGAATAGTCCAGCAAAAATAAACCGGAATTAGTGAAATTAAAGAGATTATTTTATATGAAAAGGCAATAAGGAAGCAGCACTTGAAAATTTTTTTTTCTTGGGGAAAGAAAAAGAGATTAGTTTTTCTCCTTACCCTAGTCCAGGCTAATTCTCAAGTATGTAATGAAGATTTGTATACCTTCACTCAAGCATTTGAGTATCAAGATGAGCTTCTTTTTGGGAGGCAAAAACAAAAGTGTTTTTTGAAAATAGTCTGGTCTAGATTCTATTAAAATTAATTACCCAATAAACCATTTTGAAAAAAGCAACACAAGAATAAAACAGCATCAAAAATATGCAAGCAAAACCCTCACTGAGCTTGAACAATCTAAATAAAACTTCAACACAAACTTCTTTAAATTCTGAATTTTTAACATAAAAATGACATTTAATTATCTTTTCTATTCTCATGTAAATTTAGTTATTAACATTAATTTAATAGTCTAATTAATAAGTTATTCCAAATCCAGTTTAGTAATATACTGGGGTGACTATGAGTAATTTACAAGATTTTAAATATTTCTCAAAAATTCTGTAAGACTCAGCCGGTAGCATGGCCAAATGATCTAAGGCACTAGATTAAGATTTGGCCGGGCACAGTGGCTCAAGCCTGTAATAGCACTTTGGGAGACCAAGGTGGGAGGACTGCTTAAGTCAGGATTTCAAGACCAGCCTGGGCAACACAGTGAGACCCTATCTCTATAAATTTTATTTATTTATTTATTTATTTATTTGAGATGGAGTCTTGCTCTGTCACCTAGGCGGGAGTTCAATGGCGTGATCTCCGCTCACTGCAACCTCTGCCTCCTGGGTTCAAGTGATTCTCCTGCCTCAGCCTCCCGAGTAGCTGGGATTACAGGTGTGCATCACCCCGCCTGGTTAATTTTTTGTACTTTTAGTGGAGATGGGGTTTTACCATGTCGGCCAGGCTGGTTTCAAACTCCTGACCTCATGATCCGCCCACCTCGGCCTCCCAAAGTCCTGGGATTACAGGTGTGAGCCACCACGTCTGGCCCTATAAATTTATTTTTTTTTAATTTCATAGGACCCCTTTTCTTTTAAAGCTATATATTACTTAGGAATTTTAGGAGGGGATGAGAAATCAACTGTTTACAAAAGATGGGAAACACTAGTCTACTGAATGAGCCTGGTGGTAGTAAAAATTATCTTCAGTGAAAGGGAAATGTAATCATAGGTGGGAAAGTGTATTTTATGTCATTTCTAGTTGGATAGTTGGATCTAATTTTTTATTTGTACAGATATACTAAATGTTTAATATAAAATGAAAACAAAAAACAATGTTCTCCCAGTTTTTTAAAAATTTCTAAATAGTTACATTTGAATCTATTGAATTAATTTTTAAATAATGAAAAATAAGATATTCTGAATATTTGTACCTCAGGATCATTTGTGTTCAGGCTAGACAAACAGGATGTAAATTAGTTAAAATAGTGGTTCTATCTTTGGCACTAAATGACTATCTTTAATTCTACAAATTCTAATTGTTTAGCAGTAAAGCTGAATTGGCAGTTTTTTCATGGATATTATCAACCAAAAAAAGATACTTCAGCTAATATTTACATTCTATAATGAAACTAGCTGTAAAATTTTTATTCATAAATTTCTTAACAATTTTTTGTACTACAGTATTTGAGAATTTGAATTTGTTTGGTTCAATAAATAAATGTTTGGTTCAAACAATAAAACTGTTCTCTAGCATAGTAACTATACAGAATTACATGCTAATCAGAGATGAGCATTAGTACAGAATTCTTTCTAAAACTTGTATTAAACAAAAATAGACAACTAAGCCAAACTCAAGTATCAGGTTATTTCCACAGCTTCTGTGTGGAAGTAACCTGATACTTGAGTTTGTCTTTCCTGGCCTGTCTTTTTGTACCTCTTCTTGGGTCTCTGATAAGGGACACTATGTTTAGCAAAATATAAATTTTATTTTACCTTCCTTTCTTTCTAACAGTTCTGCTTGTTTCAGTACCTTTGGGTTTCCTCCGACTTCTTTTTTGCTGGCTTCTTCTGTTCCCTTACTGATTGTTTATTGGTAATAACATGCTTTTCTCTTTTTATTATTTTTACACAGTTACTTTTACGATTGTGCCAGTGACTCTCACTCATCCTCTCTCATCATTTTACCACATTTTTGCTATAGTTTCATTTATTCAGTATCAAATATTCTTTCCTTAAACCCATATATTTTACATATAAAATGTGCCACAATATCAATAAGAACACATTTTCATCAATTAACTATATTCAATGCTAATATCTTATCACACATTGCAACAAAAACTACTACCAGATCATTGCAATATGTCAATAGGCAACCATATTTCAGTAAATGTAAACATTTATCATCAAGTTGGGATTGCCTGTGTAAACTTAGTATCAATCTGACATGATCTCTGTTACCTGTTTTAAGCATCTGAGCGAACATATAAACAATAGATTTGCTCCATTACAGTACAAATTACAGAATATCAATCTCAATAAGTCCTTTTAGAAAAATTACATGTAATACTTGTAATTCAAGTAATTCAAAACTTGAAATTAATAGAATATTTAATTTTCCTAAACATGACAGAATTCACTGTATGAGAGTGATATAATGCAAAAAATCTTTATTTTCCCTTGTTAATGACTCTTTCACATAATAATAAATGGGGGGAAAAGCAACTTAAGACTTTAAGAATAATCGAAGACAACTGATATTTAAAATGTACACTATTTAACCTGAACTTAACAACATGTCTTGATTAAAGAAAATATAAGGCCGATTTTCTAGACTGAAAGAAGAACACCGAAAAATAGAAGCAGTTGATGTCACGCATGAAAAGAGCTAAATTCCCCTGTGCCACTGGCGGAAGCCAAGCACTGTGACCCTGTATTACAACTGATGTACAACTTAACATAACTGAATGATGTTTCTAAAAAGCAAGCAAGCAAGCAAATCTTACTTACAATATTACTCTATACAAAGGAAGCACATTTCTACTTTCCAATATTTTGATTTTCTAAATTCTAGTACAAAGTAATTCTAAAATTAAAATAGCATCTATGTCAACAGAGTGTAGAAAATACGAATTTTAAGGAGACTGCTGTTGAATAATTTAATAATTCTTCTGATATCTATATAAAGAACAAATCATTTCGACCAAAATGTGCTTTATTTTTGTTTCAAAGAATATTTTTCAAAGAGTGCTACCATCAGAGGGGCATTATTCACTCCATATATCAGTGATACAACTAGTATTCATGAGTGTCTGTAAGATGGAACAAGCGATTTGCTCGGCCACTCATTATAGAAATTCTGCAGTAGATGGATGGTCCTAGAGAAAGGGCAATATTCTTGACATGACTGGAACAGATCTCATTAAATATAATATGGTTTGAAAGACTTTCAATTGGAATGGACCCTCATGATTGCCAGTAGGCTTTTAAAATATGTAATTAGTACTGTCTAACATCTCTGGCCTTGGCTTCAGAGGCTTCAGAACTGAAAAATAGTTCTCAATGCAAAATTACAACCTCCTTAAGATGGGTAGATGCTAGATGTGACTGTAGCCTCAGTAATCTGAGACACTAATAAAAGGGCTTTTAACACCTTCAGTACACTGGAAAGGAAACACATGCTTGTAGCTGATATAACATATTAAAGTATTATTCTGATATTATATAAAATATATATTATATATTCTATTATATATTATATATAAGTATATATTCTGATATATATTATATATTATGTTACAATATTCTATTATCATAACAATATTAAACATCTGATGACATCAAATACAATATTCAGATAAAAAAATTCTGCTATCAGCTAAAGTCTTAAGTTCTTTCTTCTATTAAGACTGTTGATCTAAGCATTACATTAGACTGTCTTTAAAGGGAGCTCTACATTTTAATACTGTTAAAAACAGAAAAATCGTTATGTCAAGTCCATTGTGATTAATTCTAATTTCATTTTCCTATATATAATGCATTTGCTTTATTTTATCTAAAATTATGCTTTAACATTCTAATTTTTGTATGTTTACTTGCATAAACAGTGATTCATAGTTGTTGCATTTTAATGATTTTAAGTTAAATATGCTTCCATATGCAAAAGACTGAATTTGAACTCTTAGGGAGGCCGAGGAGGGAGGATCACTTGAGCTCAGGAATTCAACATCAGCCTGGGTAATACAGTGAAACCTCATCTCAAAAATAAATTAATTAATTAAAATAAATAAATAAAATTTTGATCCTGTACCTTACTCCATATACAAAAATTAACTAATAATAATCAAAGATGTAAGTGGTAGGACTAAAACTATAAAACTCTAAGAAGAAAACAAGGTTGAATTATCAGCATAATCTTGGATTAGACAATGTTTTTTTTGACATCAAAAGCACACAGAGTCAAGGAAAAAATAAATTGCTCTTCAGCAAAATCAAAAACTTAAGTGTGTTAAAGGACATCATCAAGAAAAGTGAAAAAAAAAATCCAAACGGTAAGAAAAAAAATTTGTAGATTATATGTATAAGGAGCTTATTTTCAGAATATAAACTCTTAGAATTCAACAATAAATAAGCAATTTTTAAATGTGCAAAGAATATTACTAAACACATGTCCAAAGAACACATGTAAGCTGCCAATAAGAACATGAAAAAATGCTCCACATCATTAGTCATTAGGAAAATGGAAATTAAAACTACAGTAAGATACTACTTCATGCCCACTAGAATGCCTATAATATGAAAACATTAAAAACAACAAGTGTTGGCAATAATGTGGAGAAATAAAAATATTCATATATTGCTGATGGGAATGTAAAATGGTACAATTACTATGAAAAACAGTGTGGCAATTCCTCAAAAGCTTAAATAGAGAATTATTACCATATAACCCAGAAATTCTACTCCTGGGTACACACCCAAGAGAAGTGAAAACATACAAAAATAAAAACACTTGACAATGAATGTTCATGCAGCATTATTTATAATAGCCAACAAGCTGAAACAACCAAATGTCCATCAGCTGATGGATAGACAATATGTGGTAAATATATACAATGGAGTATTATTCAGTCATAAAAAGGAATGAAGTACTGTCACATTGTATAACATGGATAAACCCTAGAAGAATTATAAATGAAAGAAACTACATGCAAAAGGCCACATATTGTATGATTTTATTTATGTATGTGAAATATCCAGTGTAGGTAAATCCATCAGGACCAGAATTAGACTAGTACTTGTTACGGGTGTATACACTGGAGTGCCTGTGTATTTGAGGGGGAAAAAAACCTCCTTCTCCAAATAAATAGAAGACCTAATGCTTTAGAGAAATGCTTCTGTGTGTTTATTCATGTGTATGAGATGGCCAAACCGCTGTTACTAAAGATAACTAATACTCAAGCACTACTGTGATATGTCAAACCCACATTTCAATGATTATCAAACAGACTTCAATTTTATAATCAAAATGCTCTTTAAAATATAAATATACATATACACTAATACATTTTTAAAATATATATAGTAATCCCTACTGTAAAAGGGTTATGTTTCACTAGGAAAGAATTGTTTATACTATTCCTCCAGTAAGACCTCAAAGTACATAAAATGTTCCTCATAATTATTTGTATATTGTAAAGGAAGCCTATAATTCAAGTTTATTTCTGTATTCCCTATGTCAATGTTACATGGGATTTTACTATACACATATATAGACATTCATATGCACACAAAAAGTTAAATTATGCACTTATCTTTCCATTTGTAAGTGCAAATTTATACATACACACACACACACACACACACACATTCATTAATGCATCAGAAAGAAGTTAGACAATGACCATTAGTAGCACAGAGAGTTAATCCTACTTACTGCTGAAGAGCTCAGTGCGGATTTTGGAGACCTAATTATTCCAGCAATTGAATGACGAATAGATTCAAATTTGGATAGCCTCTCCTTTCTTTCCTGGAGGGATTAAGAAACAAGCCTTCAGCAACAGTAAACTATCCAATATGTATACACATTTATGTATTTAGGTACTTATCCACAGCTTATCCATCATGTCTTCCAACTAAATAAAATACAAACTTCCTCACATTAAAGATAACAAATAACCAAATACACACAAACTCTATAGCATTTTACTTTACTGACCCCTCAACAAATGTCTTGATTTTGGGGAAAGAAATAGAAATGCATATAGCAATTCATATAGAATTCATATAGATGAAAACAAGAAATGCAAAGGAAATTCACAGAAAACCAAGTATTAATTAACACATGCAAAAAAGAACACAAGCTATAAGGAACCTATTTAACACAGACTATTTCAGATAGGACTATAGTTGTGAAGCAATTTCAAATAAGAAAAAATAATCGCACACACACAAAAAAGGAAGAAAAATATACGGAACACATTTTTTAAAGGTGAATTTCACTTCAGTACCTAAGAAGTTTCCCAAAGATTCACATGATGATAATGACCATCATGATGATCATAATGACCATCATGATGATCCTGAAGATAAGGAGAAAGGCGGGTGGGAGGAGAATGAAGTAAAACAAGAAGGTAATGGCAGACCTACCTACCACCAATCCTACCAAATCCAGATTGCTATTTGCCATACAATGCATATTTCTGAATATCGTATACCATAATGACGAAAACTTTTCCTAAAATTTCAAATCTTTAGGACCATTTTACAAACATAAGTGAATGAGGTAGGTAAGAGGGCAGAAAAAAAGAGGGAAAAAAGAAAAAAAAAGAGGGAAAAAAAAAAAAAGAGATAGAAAAAAAAAAAAAAAAAAAAAGGGAAAAAAAAAGAGGGAGAAAAGAAAAAAAAACAAAACAAAAGCAAAACTAGGACGTAAGGAGGGCACCAAGAGCAAAGGATGTGTGGTTCTGTAAGGGCAGCACTGGTCAATTTTCCAACGATGACTGTATTTCAACTGCTAATCAGCAGCAGACAAAAGAACAAGAGATCCTTTTGTCAAGCACACTATTTCTGTAGGTCTTCCAGCATTAGTGATGCCCAATTTTACTTATGGAAAATAAGTAAGCAAGTCACAAATAACATCTTTTGTTTCTTTTGTCTCCAATACCTAGGGTATATCTCTGTAATAGTAAATGTAGACATTCTTGGCCACATGCTTTCTCCCAAAACCCTTTGGTAATATCAAAACAAAACATTTTCTAAGTGAGTAATGCTAAAATTACCCAATGGATTAGAATTATCTAATAGAGAGATCCAGTTAGGGCATAAAGAAAACTTTAAAAATTGTTCCCTTATATTAAGTTACAAAACATAACATATTGTGTGTTAGATGGATACAATTAGTGAAAACACCTTTTCATATGAAGGTTCTTTTTAGATAGGTTGGCCTAAAAATATATTATCAGAAATAATAATGAGACCTTAAGTTTCATATAGCAGCAATCAAAATGCAAATAGGGTTAATAAAACATTCCAACCAGTGTTGGATCATTTGGTGCCCAGATTTCTACAAATAAAATGAAACTCATTTACCATGTAGTTCCTGTCTATGTAACATCTAGTAACAGCTTTAAATTACAGTCTACCTAATAACACATGGGACTGTGCTGAATTCATTGACAGGTTGATTTTCACATCAAAGAATCAAATGGCTACTTTTAAAAATTAAAATAAAAAAATTTCCCTTCAACTGCCATGAATACAATACCTAAGTTTGCTTTTAGGCCTGCCAGGGCTGGTGATGATACACTCATTTTACTCACCTCAAGTAATGGCAAGATACATTTTCCAGATAAAGGAGTTGTAGGAATTAGTTCTGGCTAAAGGATGGCCCCTCACAATGGAGGTAGCAGGGGACTAATGAAGGGGTGAAGGGAGAAGCAATGTTATTAAATAATACCTGATATTATAAAATAATATTCTGATGAGATGCTCAGAAAAAGTGCTGTTAAGTTCAGCTATTACCTTGGCTAGAAAAAAAAGTTCTAGGTACAGTATCAGTTTCACATCTCATTTAAGAATAGTTTTTCATTATGTGAAAATTAAATGAGACAGTGTATGTGTTTGTGCGTCTGTGTGTATATACACATACACATAAAACTAAGAGACTGGTTCATAATAATTACAAGTGTATCTATTATCAATTAAAAATAACGCTATGCCAGGCTTGGTGGTTCATGCCTGTAATCCCAGCACTCTGGATGGCCAAGTAGGGAGTATTGCTCGAACCCAGGAGTTTGAGACCAGACTCGGCAACACAGTGAGACCCCATCTCTACAAATAGTTTTTAAAAATTAGCCAGATATGGTAACGTGTGCCTCTAGCCCCAGCTGCTCAGGAGGCTGAGGTGAGAGGATGGCTTGAGTCCAAGAGGTTGCAGTGAAGCCAGACTGTACCACTGCACTCTAGTCTGGGCAACAGATCAAGACCTGTCTCAAAACAAACAAAAATAAAAACAAACAGATAAACTCTATTTAAAAAATACCTAAATTACTTAAAGTAAAATCCTACCTATCAAGTTTTGAAATTATCCTTCATTAGAAAACTGCAGTGAAACAGGCTCTTGCACTGCAATGTTCCATTTAGTGCCCCCATCCCCTGAGCACTAAAGCACAAAGATACAAAGGCATGAATTAAGGTTCTGCTGATTGGAGTCGCTCTGACAAAGAAACTAAGCTCTAACCAATGACTGCCTATCTGGCTGCTGTAGAAAGTGACAACTTCAACCAAAAAGCATGTAACAGTTCTGAAAGTGAGGTTCTGAAAGGAGGCACTAAGATAAAGGAATAACGTTCTTGAAGTCAGAAGCGATGAAGAGTATGAGTCTGAGCAAATTACTCAACTAACCTTGCTCTCAGTTTCCACATCAGAAAAAAGAAAGGCACTAGGCTAGATAAAATATTCATCTCAAAAATTCTGTGACTTTTATCCAACTCCCCATCATTTGTGTTGCATTGATCATTAACGAAAACCCAGAGAAGAGTTTCATGGTACCAGGCTGGCAATCAGTACTTTCCTTGGAGCACTTAGTCACAGTTAGCCTGAGGTACCCTTAGAATATGAACCAATGAGATGGCTGAACTATCATGAAAGGAAGACTTTTATTGTTGTTGTTTATAACAGGTCTTTAAAACAAAAACTGAATATTATTTCTCACAGACTTATGTAAATAAACCCAATCTAATAACATTCTTGGACAGAACAATGCAAGTGATTATTTGGCCCTGTAGGAACAGCCAGCGACTTATTAAAATCAAGAGGCAATAAGAATCAAGAAAAAGATAATATTCATGCTCAAACTCCAGGCTGAGTGCCAAATATCTTAGGGACTTCTTATGCAAAACAGCCATAAAATTCAGAGGGATTTTGTGAGAAATAACTGCAGGAAAATTATAACCCCAGAGAAGACTACCTTCTGAAAAAATTCTACATTATAGATCACTCATAATATAAATGAAATACTGTAAATATCAGTATGTCCTTCATTTAAAAAAAATGCATTTAGAAGTAACCTAAGGTTTTGAAAATGCTGATTTGCTGGGCACAATGCAAGATTCATAGTTTCTATTTCCATCAGGATACAGAATTTAAGTATTAAAACAGTTTCTAAATGATTTATTTTAGCAATAGGGTTTCCGACTAAAGGCAAATCATTTTAGAAGTATTCACTCCTTAGTAACTTAGTTTGTCATGTTGTCTTTTCTCTTTGATGCTTGCATATTAAGATTATTTATAAAAAGAAAGAAAACCCCCTTGCTAAATCAGGCATATTCATTTTCTGAAATAATGAAATTAGAAACCAAATACACAAAAGAAACATCTGAATGATTATTAAGATCTTGTTTTAAAACAACAATGCTAAGGAAACCTACAGTAAAACAGAATAGAGTTCAGTGAGATCTAGGTTGTAAAATGTCATAAATCATTCCTTTTGCTTTCTTTATTCTGTATCTCTTAAATAAGATGTCTGTAGGGAAATAAGACCCAAGAAGAAGACTATAATTAGCTTCCGTCCTATTCAATAGCCAGTTCACATTCCATGGTGCTTTTCCCAAATGTGTGACCAAAATGGCCAAATAAATATTTTTTTAAAGACTACTTTTTAGAACAGTCTTAAGTTCACAGCATAAGCAGGAGGAAGGAAAAGATTTTCTCATATGTCCTCTGCCCCCACACACGCACAGCCTCCACCATTATCAGTATCCCCCTCCAGCGTGGTGCCTGTGCTACAGTTGAGAACTTTCACTGACAAATCATGATCACTCAAGAGTCCATAGTTTTCATTAGGGTTTGCTCTTTTCGTTGTACATTCTATGGGTTTGGACAAATGTTTAACAACATGTAGCCCACACTGTCCTAAAAATCCTCTGTGCTCTGCCTATTCATCCATCCCTTCACCAAAATACAATTTTTATAAATTATCCAGTACTACAAGATGCACACCAACCAGTTTCCTGATGAGCATCTCATTGATACAACAACTTAAGAGCTGATAAGACTTTGCTCAGTAAACAACTGTGTAATTTGTTTGTATGAAAAATTGTAACTATTATAAATTGAATTATCAAGGTATCTTAACTAAGATTCTGCTTTTGGTACAATTTAGGGACATAACGATACAGCAGTAAATTTTTCTACTTGACTTAAAACTAATAAATTGTGAGACAAGGAACATCTTATAATGAAAGTATTATTTAATTAAAGACCAATGTTTAGCAATCAAGGCATTTTACCAGCTTCAGTTACACCTTCACAAAGTCCCCAGCTCATTCCTCTATTTAACAAATTATTTTGATAAAGTCAAAATAACCTCTTTACCATTCCTGCATACACTACATACGCCTCCTCACTGCAAGTTCCCTATCTCTTGTCTCCACCTCTCATTGTCCCTTCTTTTCCCTTTCTACCTTACCATAATAAATGCTCATAAATATTAGCTATATTTATTTTTATTTTACTAGCAACGACAAG